TCTTTTTTCTTAATTGTTTGGAATTTATTTTAACGTCAGTGATAAAATACCGACAATATTAAAGCATTTTTTATGAAAAATTATCAAATACATTTTTATTTACACTTGGCTCTATCGTTGATTTGCAAAAAGTTGTAAAATCGATTTCCAGCTTCGAATTTGGCACAAAAATTAAATATTTTTTAATCAAAAAACGAACAGAATCAGTGAAAGTTTATAATACATTATTTGGAAAACTCGTCACCCCCATCCCTTTGGAGACTGTAGAGGTTGTTGAACAATTTTCGTCTTTGAGTTTTGACTCATTTTTTATTTTGCTTTACTTTATACTCAAAAATGCTCTATTTTGAAGAATTTTATTTAAAAATGCTGACAATCTGAGAGTTTTTAACGCGAAAAATTACAAGATAAATTTAGAGCTTGGTAGGAATTTTACACAAACTTTTTTCATTGTCGAATTCGGGTCGAAAAGAAAAATACATTTTTTCCCGTTTTTTCCGGAAAATAATTAAGAGTCTCAAAAACCGATTACAAAACTAAAAGTTTTTAATCAAAAGCGCAAAAACCCATTATTTTCTGATGTTTTCTTCTTTTCTGACAAGCATGGGGTCTATTCAGTGAAAAATAACTAAATTAATTTTGTCACAAGATTCACCTCCTACATCGCTTTGTAGGGAATTTTAGCAAATTTTTTTCAGCTTCGATAAAATCAGATAATTTTATTTAGTTTTTTAGCTAAAGTAATTAAGATTATCTTGAAAAAACGACCAGCGAGCAAAAGTTAAAAAAAAAATTATTTTTAAACGTTGCCACCCTCAACGCTCTGAAGGTTCGCAGTTTCTTTAAAATTTTAGGTTTTTCTAGTTTTAACAAATATTTTATCAAGCGATTCTTTCTACGCAAAAAACGCATGTTTTTTAGTTTTACTTAAAAATACTGAAAAAAAAGGGACACTCGCCTCTCAACAGCTTTGTAAAAATTTTGCTACAACTTTCGCAGCTTCGAATCTTGGACAAAACCGTAATAATTTTTTCTGAATTTTTGCCCTACAACATTTCCCCGAACAGAACAAGCTTATAATCAGTAATTTGGAAAACGCGTCATCTTCGTCACTGTGAATAATTTGGTTTTTTTAAATTCCGGTTTCTTAGCTTTTAGGACAATATTTCTAAACAAAACTTTCTCCTAACAGAAAAACGCATTTTTTTTTAACGTTTCACTGTTAAAAACTGGCAAACTAAGAGCCTTCTATGCAAAAAAATTAAGATAACGATTTTACCAGAAAACTCGTTGTCTTTAGTTTGGTCTTCTTTATCGGCTTTTCGAATATCCGTTTTTGTCTTTGAATTTGGGACAAAATCGAAAAATGGAACAAAACGAAAATTATCGTGTTTTTTGTGAAGAAAATAAAGTTTTCCCAAAAAACGATCACAGAAAGCAAAAGCAGATAATCCACTATTTGGAAAACTCGTCACCCTGATCGCCCTGAAGAATTTTTAAGTTTCTTCAAAATTTCCGGTTTATCTCATTTTAGACCAAATATTTTAGTGCAATCATTTCTACAGAAAAGGTAACTCAGTTAGTTTTTAGGAGTTGATGACCTTTTGTTAGATGCTAGAATTCCCGTCTTGGTCATATGTAAATGAGTTATAACTCATTAACTGATGAGTTAATACTCATTAACTCAGAGAGCGGCAACAACTCCAAAGCGCAACTCAACACAGTGTTACCCAGGCCTAATAATAACTTTCGTCATGCACGCTTCTGACAGCTGACTGCTTGTTACTGTTTTTACAACATTTTCGAAGTCGTTTTTTTTTTAAACTTTATGCCTTTTCCGGATATTTTCCACCAATCATCAAAAAAAATAGTTTACGGTACAACTTCACGCAGTGGCAATACTTTCGTCGCTTGTACCATAGTGTACTATTTATATATCTCCTGGTAGAAAATACGTAATTTCGCCATTGTTTGCGAAAGCGAAGGAATCAGATTTACCCGTTACAATGACATGACAACGATAATTTACCTTTCCGCATATTTGTCATAGTACATTACATTTGATTCATAGTACATTAGCCTAAAGCTTGGTTCACATGAGTCCGGAATGCTTTGCGAAACCGGAAGCGGAAAGTGCGCGCGCAGCCTACTACTACCATTACTACGCATCCGCTATCCGGATTATTTTTCGAGAAGCGAGACACGATACAACTATTTTTTCTACATTTTTTCTTGCCAGTTTTTTGAGGCGCATGACATGAACGTTCGAAATTAAAAGTTAAAACTGCTTTTGTCTTTGTACGTTCTAGAAAGAAGGAAACAAAGGCATCAAAATGAAAGACGGTCGAATAGACGCCGCTGAACATAACCTTCTTTAAGCACCACTGGAGATAACCTAGATTTTCACATTCTTCCGCACGCCATGCGGAAAATATTCAAATTTGGCAACTTTTGCGGATGGGCGGAGCTAACGCATCCGGCAAACTTCTGATTGGTAGGAAGGTTTTCGCATTCCGGACGCGTTCCGGTCTTCCGCTTTAGACTTTCGTATCGTGTTCTATATAGTATTTTTCTTTATCGGTGCCGATGGCTGGGAAAGGTATAAGTTTTGAAAATGTTGTCAAATCTCTTGTCAGTCACGCTGACAGTAGCGTAAAATGAAAAAAAATGTAATCGAATAATGGGAGGAAAGGTAAATTGACGTTTTCATGTCATTGTAATGGTAAAATTGATTCTTTCGCTATGGAAAACAGTGACGAAACTACGTATTTTCCACCAGGAAATCAAGAAAAGTAAATTTCCTTTGGCCTGTGTGGAAAGTGAGTACCGAGCCTTTGGTCCGTGAACGTGCGAAAGAGAATTCCATACTTGTCCTTGTGTATGCCAGACGTAACTACGCCGTAACGCATTGCGATGGGTTTGGACCGTGCCATAAGTAGTTATCATTTCAAAAACTTGCACTCAAAGTTTATGTTTCTCATCAAGTGTGATTAATAATAATAATAAAATAATGGGCGTGGTGCGGCCCTGGCAATATTACTGCTTACGTGTCTGTTTCGTGTATTTTTATTGGTTTGCTTTGTTGTATTTTATGGTGCGTCCAGACCTAACGAGCTGAGCCTGAGCCGCGGCAATTTCCTTTGTTTATTCCAATTTCCAATTTCCCGATGTTTTATTAAAACATCGACAGCAAATTAATCGTCTGTCAGTGTTTTGACGAAAACATCAAACGAAAACGCCGCGGATCGAAACGGAAAAGCATCAGGTCTGGACGCACCATTAGTGTTAAACGTACCACGTTAATGAGAAAAACGTCGTTTTGAAAGTAGGAATGAAAAACATAATCGGCAAATTTAGGTTCTTTCCTTGGATATGGTTTTTATTCATTTTTCTAGACTTACTAAACACCCCTGAAAACACGTTTAAGCCTCGGTCTAAGATTCTCCGCTGTCGATGTTTAGATCCACAGGCCTTACGTACACACAAATTACGTATGGGGTAAACCACTAAGGGAGTCGGTCGGCTATATCTTAGAGAGTATGGGTTAAGATTTGTTAAAAATAGTTTCAGTCGGTTTCTGCGATAGTTGTGCGTTGGTAATCGGTTTAATGTCTTTCGCTCTAGCTAATGTTAAGTGTTGGGGAAGGGGAAAGATTGATACAAAATGGAGATGATATCTCCGCATAGTTTAACTAAGTTTGACATTAAAAATCTCGTTCAAAGCTCTTTCTCTACTCTACTCTTGCAGAAATTTATTGACTCCTGTTATTGTTTCTTTATGTTTGTCACTTATTGTCCTGCCTAATCAAATAACAAAAAAGTGGAAGGTTGTTTGTTTCTCAAAAAAGATGTGATTATCTCAGGATTGACTAAATAAAAAAAAATTAATTTGGTTTTCCTTAGGCTACCGCATGTTGTAAAAGCATACCGTTAATTCTATTTTCAAAGCCGAGAGGACACAAAAATATATTAAGCCATTTCACTTCTCAAATTTAAAGGAGAATTTTTTTATTTTTATTCAAAAATCTGAAAGACAACCGAACATAAGTAAAGGTAGTGAAAACCACTCTTCAACTTCCTTTCTTCTTTGTTGGACATATACTTGATCGTCGACCATTTTTCAACGTGACTTAAAACAGATTTTTTCAAAAAAAATGGTGTCAGAATTTACCTGTTTTGAGCGATTTTGGTTACCTTTCTAAGCAGGTAAATCTTAGAATCCTGATTCTATATGTACCTATGTCATATCAAGTTGGTCGGTTTAAAAAAGCGACTGTTGCGGCCAAAGAAAGAATCACGTGGGCGACTATTTTGCGTAGTATTTAGAGTATAGAAGAAAAAAGAGTCTCTTTTTTTTTGGAGTATAGAAAAATAAAAGATCTATTTAATGAGGTTTTCAATTCTTAATTTAGTCAAGCGGGTCCGAAGATATCGATACATTTTTGAACCAATATTTGACTCTCAACCATCACTTTATTTGTTTACGTAGATCAAATGTACATTAAATTATCTCAGAAGCTTGCAAATAATTTTGAGCATTTTCTTGGTCACTTTATTAATTATTTCTTCCTTAAAAAGAAATGAAATATGTACAGTTAATAGCTTTTGAGAAACAGCTGCCGACCTCCCTTACTTGCTCACCCGGTATACTTGCGGTCTACAGGCACAAGTCTGTAAATTATTGTCAACATATAGCATACGAATCTTTAGAATTCCCATTTCATCGGCTACAGATCCGGTTAGGATTCAATAGTATCAATTACTCTATGAATAAAAATCTTATTTATTCAATCAGGATGTGAACTTCAGTCAGAATAAATTATATCATCTGATCTTACGAACGAATATTAAATGGCGTTTTAATTATAGTTATTATTTGCATGAAGGTATTTTACAAACGGAAGCAGCCACAATAACGTCAATTATACAAAAATACATATTTTTCATTTCTAAATAAGCTAATAATATAAAAATAGTAAAAATATTTTCTATTGTTTCAGGAAGCCCACAACATGGTGAGAGAAGCAAATGAAAAGCAAGCAGCAGCAGAAAAGACACTAAAAGAAAGCCAAATGAAAGTAGATGTACTAACGGCCGAAGTAGCGGCCCTAAAAACGCTTGTACTCACATCAACACCCAGCTCACCCAATCCACATCTTCACCCGCAAATATGCAAAGATGACTCAGGTATATAATGCTGAATTGTTAGCATTTGTTTATTTATTTTTAGAAATAATATGTGGGTATCATAATAGAACAGAATCCCTTCAAACGAGGAAAATTCCTAATTCCAATCAGGAAATCTTCATGAAACCCTACTAGGACGCACATTCGTCAGTAAATTTTCCTATCTGATGCTTGCTACTAAAAAACACGTAGTTTCTCTTCAGTCTTCGGTTTCCTTGACATGAGGCTACTCATTTTATTCAACATGTATACAAACATTTTGATGTTTCCTATTATTTCTCAATATTTGCTCTATTGCAGTTTTTTCTAAGAAAGTAAACAAATCCTTTACATTATTTAATGTTTTTCTTTACTAAATTGTTTAGTAAAGAAGACATTGTACAACTTCGCCAGGACGAAGCTCATTAACTTGAATGAATGAGCCAAATTTATGTAAATAATAAATGTATGAAGGGACGTTGATTACAAAGAACAGCGGCGTTGATTTTTCGATCCTTCTCAATTGTGGTATTTGTCAGTATATCGAAATTGATTTAACACAATTTCAAAATAGCCGACATTTTGCCATACATGTTAGACATCCTCAGAGCACTAAAGATATTGCAAAAAAATAGGGCTCGTTCTAAATATGCATCATTAGACTTAAGCTATGGTTATTATTTAAGTGTTATGTTAGTAGACTTCCTTAGTAATTTGATTGAATTTACTGAAGTTGATTAAAAGAAAAGGCAGCTCTGAAGTCAATATTAATACCTCAGAAATAATATTAACTGGTTGATACCATCAATATCACCAATACATGTTAATTATAGAAAAATGCTACCATTCAATTCTAAAGCTGAGTCCATACCGAACCCGTTGCTATGCTGGAATAAAATTTACATTTTTTTTCTTAGAATATAAATACTTTTGAAACTCTAGTGCGGGCTTATTGACGTAATTTAATGTGTTATCATCTGTGTAACAAGTAAATTAATAAAATAAATAAATATGCGCAGTATTGTTCAAATCAACCCAATACGCAGCGACGCGTTTGGGAAAAACCTGCCCTAGATGCGCGGGGAGAAATTGCCATTCTATAGTTTGAATTCCAATTGTCCAACTAAGTTTAGGAGATACACTATTCAGAAGGAATACGACAGAATGTTTAGCATCGCTCAATGTCACCTATCAATATTTTATTTAAAACTGTAAGTGATTTACATAACCTACATAACGTTGATAAGTATTATTAACATTGATGGCATGGTCAAGTAAATCATTTTCCATCTTGTCACACCATTTTCCGTCTTGTTTCAAACATTTTCTACTCAATTTCCAAGCACTGTTCTGACCTACTTGACGTAGTATTTTACGCAACATGGCGAAAATCAACGCGCCTGGTCTAGACTTGGCTTTACATATAAGATGAATTTTCTCGCAAAAGTGTTTCTATGAAATATATTTTATACACAATATAAAATTAAAACAAAGGTATCAAAATGAATGTTGTAACCCGGACCCGTGAACAAGTAGCCGTCGTTTTCTTGAGCTTGAAAACCATGATTTTTTAACAAAAATTATCCAACTCGGGCCATTCCGGCAAAAATTGTCACAGAAATTCTAATATTACCCGCATTACCAGCCTAACCGTCAATTATTCAAACTCTAAGTTTTGAATAAGAGCTTAAGCTAATAACGGTTCACGCTCTCTAAAAAGGACCTAACGATTTTAGCGACTTTACGGATCCCGATTGTTTGGATCTTTTTAATTTAATTGATGCGCTGATCAATTTTGGCGCCCTTAAAAATATGCCATTCAAGCCCTAAGAACTATATGTTCGGACGATGTTCAGTGAGTGATATACTTTTGTTTCTTCTACTGAAAAATGAATTTATTATCCTTTTATCAAGGCTGACAATGGAAAACTTTTTTTTTCTTCTGCTTTTATCCTGTAGCAAATTAGCAAAAATGTAACAAACTTACTGACAAATAAATAATCGGACGCACTTTGACACACCTTAAGGCGAAGTTTAATAAGAAGTAACATCACCTTTCGGGTTTGACCGGCTTCTATACATATTGCCTTCGAATCCACTAGAGTCTGCGGGGGCACTATAGTGAGGCAATATTCTGGGGTGAGCGAATTTCAAATTTCAGTTCCTGCCTTTAATCCCGGCACTGTTCGTTGAGGATCGTTACGCAATGATTTCTTCATTAGATGCCATAAAGTTTCTAAAACATTCAAGTCCGGACTGCTTAAGAGTAATGATAAAACTTTGAAACTATGATCTCCAATCCAGTTTTTGGTCGTTTAAAGCGGCGCTCCCACAGAACCACCGGTGATCCGTCGCAGATTTCCAACATATGCGATTCCCATTGAACGGTCTCACAGAAAGCTTCACTAGTCATCCACTGCCATCCACTGGTAACCACGGTTTCGAAATTTGGTAGTTTGGTAGAAGGCGGTAAATGCGCGCATGCGGGTTAGAAATTATATGGGCTTGGTTTGAGCCCTTTCATAAAAAGTGAGGTTATAAACTGGTAAACAGTGGAAGCCGATGAATAATTGCTGTGAGACCGTTCGTTGCAGTTTCCATAATTTTAGTCGGTGGTAGTGGGTGATAGTTGATGACAGTGGTTGACCGCTGCCTAAAGCTTGGTTCTCATGGGTACGGAATGCTCTGCGGAAGCGCAGTGCGGAAAGTGCGTGCGCAGCCTACTACTATCATTACTACGCGCGGAAAAATTAACGCAGTTTACATGTATTCGTATTATAATATTTCCGCACATTCCAAGCGAGACACGATACAACTATTTTTTCTACATTTTTTCTTCCCAGTATTTTAAGGTGCATGAAATGAACGTTTGAAACCAAAAGTTAAATTTGCTTTTGTCTTTGTACGTTCTAAAAAGAAAGAAACAAAGACATCAAAATGAAAGACGGTCGAATAGACGCCGCTGAACATAACATTTCACTGGAGCATCACTGGAGATAACCTAGGTTTTCAGCTTCTTCCGCACAGCATGCGGAAAATATTAAAATTTGGGACCTTCTGCGAGAGCAAACGCATCCGGCAAACTTCTGATTGGTCGGAAGGTTTTCAGCATTCCGGACGCGTTCTGGACTGATGAGAACCCGGCTTTAGACTTTCGTCTCGTGTTCTATATAGTATTTTTCTTTATCGGTGCCGATAGCTGGGAAAGGTATAAATTTTCAAAAAAATTTTGTTCCATAGTTTGAATTAAAGTTCTTGAAACATTTTTTGGTACTTTTCTGCATTTACGGTTCCATCGACAAACTCATATTTGCCAATGGGTTTACTACTCGCACATCCCCATATAACCTCTTGGGAAAATTTTACTGTACGCTTTAGACAGTCTTCATGAAAGGCCTCTAATTTTGTTCAAATCACTTTTTTCCGAAAATCACGTATGCATACGTCAAATTTTGATTCCCCACTAAAAAACGTTAAACCGCTATTCCGTTGTCCGTTGTTTTTAGATGGCTGTAAATAGCGGCTTTTCCTTTGCGTAAACCCAAAGTAAAAAACTGTAATCAGATTTATGCAGCCAAAGTGTACTGCCGGTATGTTTAGTCGATCTTTTACGGTGCGCCGTCCTCCCGACGTTCCCTGGAGGGCCCCAATTTTGGATGCACACTCGATCGGTTGGGCATCTGACGCACGCGCATTTGAATGTTGTTGGGCGATGCGGTGGGAATTTGTCGGAGATGGATATAGGCATCTCCGAACTATAACGTTCACTATAACATACGTAACTAAACGTTATTTATCGGCTTTCACCGCTAATATGTCTTTTCTTATAAAAAAATGTTATTTTGCGCTTTATTTATACAATATCTTATCCTTCGAGGCAACTAGCCGCAATGGAAAGAGCKTATCTTTTCTGCCATTGACGGCGTTCCAGCGSCGACTTTTAAAACGACTTCACGAGCTAAATAGCAAYCAGTTCCGAACTTCAGTAAATTAATAATATTACCGCAAAAGCGGACGCATGCTCATTCTATGGGAGAATCGTCGGCGATTTCACGAAACGAAGAACAGCTTTGCATCAAAAATCCGTCGCTTTTGCGTCGGCGGCGGCACGCCCGGCTATCCGAAAATACAATCTCCGGCAAAGTTCCGAAGATCGACTAGACATACCGGCATTAAAGTTTCTTCCTGATTCCACTGAGCTTGAATTTGTCTTAGGGTGCCTCTTCTGTTGGATCTGCAGATATCTACAAGTAAACGGCGTTTTCTTTCATTACATAATAAGGGGTCGACCTTCTCATTTGAAGTTTTCTGCATTGATTTGTCTTTGCCGTTTTGAGAACGTATAGTTTCCGAAAGCTTTTTGTCTCTTGCAACACCACGCGTCATTTTATTATGCTTTTATGGGAAAGTATTAGACTTATTCAACTCAAACTGACAGATATTAATCTAAACACACTTAGTTTATTAGCAGATGCCTGCGTAATACTGATTTAACGGGTCAATCAAATACACGTCCRAATATTTATTTGTCATGAATTTTCCAACATTTCTAYTATTTGTTTTTGTAGTTGTTGAGAAATGAAAAAGTAATGCGTTAATATCTTACTGTATGATTGGGAACTTGTATGAGACCCTATTTTTYAACTGCAAAGAAAAAAAATTWAAGTAAACATTATCATTATTCAATTAGAATTTTAGGCGTCGTCCGAACATATAATTGCCAGGGCTCGTATTTGCTCATTAATATTGGCGCCCTTAAAAATATCACATATTATCTTGAAGCTTTGTAAAGGTTGTGATGTGTTCATACTCGAATAACTACAGAGCGTAAATATTAATATTGGATTARTAAAGGAACATTTGTTCCTCACCTTAACATTCTCAATTAGTGCGTCACTGAAAATCAACTTATAATGTTAAATGCATTTCAGGAATGACAATATTTACTAAAAAGCATAGACGATCGCCTTCCCATTACAATCTGAAATATGGCAGGGAAAATTCGCCTCCAGGTTCTCCAGTTAAGGACGCAACTCTTGCAGGAAATCCAGAAATTGAAGTTGAAAGCAGAGAAGGAATGGAGGTTATATCAGCAACTGTTCTTCATGAGTTTTATGGTAAAAGTTTCAATTTTCTAGGTTGATCCAGTGTTTCACAAGGAGTTCTTGGAGTGGCGAAAGAACCCTGTCATAGACAAAGCTGACCCGTTTGTAAACCGAATTTTTCGCGAGGATATTACTATGTGCCTGGACTTTAGCAATAGGGAATTGTTGGAAAGAGTCGTTAAAGCCGTTGAAGATGGTAGTGTTTTAGTTGAATCGGTTGGCGACAAAACAAAAGTAATATTTCCTAAGTAAGTCCAATTTACACGTTTGCAAGCTTGCTTTAATTTATTTTTTTTTCATCTAGAACATGCGCTCTCTTACAAGTACCCAGATTGTGCTTTTACCGCATGAGCGTTGGGGACGCTGACTCATGGTATAGCATATCTCAAATATGTAGAAATAGGGTAAGTTGTTGCGTTTAGCTTTGAATTGCGATAAGCTAATTTGCTTTGCCATCGCTTCTTTAATAATGTTCGTATAGCTGATTCATTTTCGTTTCATTTTTCAGATAATTGCCGTCTGTGATTTTTTAAACTATCTCAAGTATATCCAGAGAGGACTAGTTAAAAGTTGTGGTGAGTATTCTGAAATATTGGCAAACTATTTTTCCTTTCTTAAGTTCTACTATTCGACATCAATGAGAGTCTTAAGTATCAAGATGTTCTATATGGTCATAATTTTCCTTTGACCCAAAATGAATGCAAACCACATATTGTTAAATTAAACTGAATTACATTTTTATACAGGGTTATCCATTTTATGAATGGGAAAGTAAAGTAAAAAAACACCCAAAATATTCAGATGGAGACGAAAATTTTAATTCAATATAAAGATTAAACCTTGC